TTGTCTGTCATAGTTGACGTGTACCTATGATGAAAATTACAGGCCTCTCTCATCTTTTTAAGTGGGAGAACTTGCACAATTGGTGGCTGACTAAATACTTTTTTCCCCCACTGTACATTTACAGTCTCTTCACTCTGTCCAGCTTGATAACAGTCATCTAAACTAATGCTAGACGTTCAGTGAGCATAGAAAATTCAAAAAGCGATGGATAGAGGACTATCTTTGGCAAATTTTGACGGCAAGGACATATAACCAATTTTAAGTGTGGCCCTCCAGACCTCGGTGAAGACTGAATGCGGCCTGCGGGGCTAAATGACTTTGGCACCCCTAGTGTAGTTGGTTTGGTTTTGAGTGGTATTTTCATGTAGGGCCTGTTTGTAGTTAGCTGGCTGGGAAGTGGGATTGCCCCAAGCTTTACATGGAGAGAATAAATCAGATCGATTCAGTCCCCTCTCCTCTCTTCTCCTGTCTACTCCTCTCCTCTCTCTGGTATTGGGACTTCTGTCTTTATTTACAGAGCAAAGCAACTGCATACTCTGCAACGACAGAAGAAAAAAAAACATTCTTCATGGGCCATAATTGAAAACAGGAGTACAACAATTCCAGTAAATCTGGAAAATTCTAAAATTATTTTTCTGTGGATTCTCATCTTGAAATGAAGGAAATCTCAACTGGGCTGTTATAGTTTACATAACTTAACCCATATTTTAGGTTGACACACTCTTTCACAGCAACAACCTGGTTGAAGAGTTTCAAAGGATAGGAGAGACCATTGGAATCTGGGGATGATTAGATGCACATGATAAAATGATGAGGGCCAGGTTGGGAATTTAACCATGACACCAGGGTTAACACCCCTATTCTTACAGTAAGTGTCACCTAAATAAAGGTATTTTAATTAGATGAAAGCCTTTGTCCTCCTCTGTCTTTGCAGTGTCATGAGATCTTTAATAACCACAGTGAGTCAGGCCATCTGTTTACCATGCCATTCAAAAGACTGCACATCTCATTCAAAAGACGGATACCCAGTAAATGTATGTAGCCTATGTAATGTAATCCACTCAATTCCAGGAAATGATCATAAGAGGGATCCATCCATGACAACATATTGCCCACATAGTGAACCTGATTGCTGTTGACTGTTACTATTCAACTGACTCCTCTCTTCCAGACATATGGTCTTAAAACAGGACATCTGTTCTACTCAGAAACATTGATAACTCTCCCTATGAATACCCTGTTTATAATGCATTACAATCACATAAAGCTTCATATGCCATGCATAATGCTTTATAACATTCTGGGAAACTGACTGGAACCATACTCAATGGATGAGATGTTTGTAAAGATGAGACACACACAACCCTCATCCATTCCTCTGCTTTCCTTGACTGGTTAACTGGTCCTTCTCTCCCTGTCCCTGTGTGATAACGTGCTGCTGATGTCTCCCAGCTGTTTAGGTGAAACGGCCAACCAGACGTTGTAACTAATGAAGGTGTCAAGGGTCATCTCAGATTTATAGGGTCATTTTCCAAAAAGCACTCAGACACCTATGTTTCAGTGCTGCACAGCAGGCCAAGACATCCCTTAAAAATACCAAATACTACATCCAATCAGTTCCATGTTATGCACTTTGGCAAGACATATTGGCTGACATACTGTAGAGCCCTCAAACTCAACTCTGGACCTCGAAGCCAGTTCCACTGCTTTTTTTAATTGTTCCCCTCTAATCAGAGACAGATTTAGACCTGGGACACCAGGTGCGTGCAATTAATTATCAGGTAGAACAGAACCAGCAGGCTCCGGACCTCGTAGGGTAAGAGTTGAATACCCCTGCTGTAGAGTTTTTAGAGTTAGTTTACTTAATTTTCAGGTCTCCTTGAAAAAGAGGGGTTTTAACCTGCAGGGATTTTATCTTGGTTAAATAAAGGCTACATTTACTTCACAAGTTTGCACAACGTCTTAGCAGTGCAGTCAGAGAGAAAGGTTGTCTGGCTCTCTTGTATGTGTTGTTGGTTGGTAGTATACCTAGTGTCAGCGGGTTCATGAGTTGTCATGGCAACGGAGTCCCTTTATTTAACGTATAGTGTTAGACCGCCAGGAGATTCTGTTAAAGCCAAATATATAATACATAAACTAGCTGGCTGCTAAGGCTGCTGGGATACCGCCTGTAAACACAATGAATCCTAGAACTCATCATCAGATATTTATCATGCACAACATTCATTGTAGAAGACCACCACTGACATTCTGCAGCAACGTCAAGTAGTAAGCCAACTGGGGGAATTTAACCTTTGACCATCTGACCCAAAGGGACACACATTAGCCACAGTCCCACTCTCATTAAAGTTCACGGACTCGCTTGATAGTACTCAGAATGTACAAAGCTAGGGTTGTTACAATCCCTTGAATCGCGATACTGGTATCGTCCCGGCCCTAATTGAGATGCAGGACATCCCTCTAAACCCTCGAAACTTTCTTTACCACCAGGAATGGGAGATTAGTGTGTGTTTCTGTTTACTTCTTGTTAAACAGGCCCAAACACAGCCAAGACGTACCCAGCCCTCTGGCTCCCTGTAGAGGGAACAGACAGGTACATGTATGGCCCATCCTCCCAAAGGGGTGCTGCAGTGTCCACTGAAGAGGGACAAGCTGTGACTCTTATTAAACCAAGAGAGGGTCGAGACACTATCGCCTTGTCTTGTTAACCATGATCCTTCACTCCTCACCTTGCAGATCGTGTTGTAACACTCATCATAGCAGTTCTGTACCATGGTCAGATAGAGTTATGCCCCATCCTCTCCAAAGGGGTGCTGCAGTGTCCCCTGAAGTGGGAAGGGAAAAGGGTGAGCAGTGACTCTATTTGGGATGGACACTGCGTTGTCTTGTCTCTGTAACCATGGAGATGAGCATCGCACTTCACCTCACCCAATTAGTATTTTACATCAGTCGGAGCCTTTTGTAAGTAACTCTGTTTACAGTACATGACTGGCATATGAGGTTAGCCGGACAGAGATAGCCTGGTCACCAGGTCTGTTTGTGCTTTAGCCAACTCCTCAGTCATCCTTTCTTCTACTGTATGCCATGACAACAAACATGACAGAAGAGTTGGCTGAAGCACAAACAGATCTGGTGACCAGACTATCTATGACCAACCACCCTCATATGCCAGTCAAGAACTGTAAACGGAGGGTAGAGCCAGGTATTGGAAGTTAGAATAGTGAAATGTTGATCAGTATTACTCTGTACCTGATGCAGTGGAAACTACTGGAGGAGAGGGCCCTTTATAACTAGCTGATTGGTGTCTGGACCAGGATGGGGAAGTGGTGTTTAGGCCAGTTAGAGGTAGTTCCCTATAGGCTAGGTGTGTCTCTTACTCTACCCGTTTCTATGGAAACACTGTTACTTTGACATCATACTCAATTCACAAGACCGTTTTCAAGTATCAAGTGTTATTATCAGGGAACAAGATATACTGGCCTATTCTCTTCCTACCAGAAGCTAGTGTAGTAGTCTTTACGGTGAACTCTGGGATTTTCCTGGGCTTTCTCTTCAGTGTTGTTGTTATCGGAGTTGGAACTAGCTGGATGTTTGAGGGAGGGAGTGGAGGGGGGAGGAGGGAGTGGAGGGGGGGGAGGGAGTGGAGGGGGGATGGAATCTTGATGGCTGTACAATTCTTGTCAGCCTCCCCTGGTGGCTCCAAGAGAGGAGCTGACTGTCCTCCTTGACGTGTGTGTGTGTGTGCGTGTTCGAGACTGCCCTCCTGAGTGTGGTGTGCGAGACTGCCCTCCTGAGTGTCGTCCTGAATAGCACCGTTGAGCCCAGAGTTGTGAGTAGGTCAGGTTTCAGCCCCAGTGATTTACATTTACATTTTAGTCATTTAGCAGACGCTCTTATCCAGAGCGACTTACAGTTAGTGAGTGCCTACATTATGTTTTTCATACTGGCCCCCCGTGGGAATCGAACCCACAACCCTGGCGTTGCAAACGCCATGCTCTATCAACTGAGCTACATCCCTGCCGGCCATTCCCTCCCCTACCCTGGACGACGCTGGGCCAATTATTCGCCGCCCCATGGGTCTCCCGGTCGCGGCCGGCTCTTTTCCACTCTCTCATCATCAGCAGGACCATATTAAACAATATGCCTGATGATCAGGCACCACCCAGCATACATGGTTAAAATGAGTTAGAATCCACAGGGAGGTCCTCCTATAACTCAGGAAAATGTGTTTACTATATACAGAATATTCAAGTGTATATGCTTGTATACGAGCCCTGCGGTGGTCAGACAAACATGCACTGTGTATCTAACCCTCTGTAGGGACTGTTTACTTAAAATATGACTGTTGAGTAAGTGTGTGGCTGTAGACGGCTCCGGGTGGTGCTGAAACACGGTCGCTTCAGTAATACATAACAGGTAATGTTATAGAGGGGGGCTTTCTTTACATTTCCTTAGTTTATGGTCCGCTAGTCTGCACCTCGTCAACTTTTACACTGTAGTTGTCCTGATGTGCTCAGCTGTCTGTTAGTATTAGCAGGGCTTTGGCCCATGTTAGGTCCTAACGTATGGATATTTGTTCAGAGGCTGGTGTGTGGGCTCTAACCCAGGTCTAGCTTGGTTATTATCTATCCAACTCCTTCACTTGTTTCTGATGTTTCTATACTCACTGTATATGTTTAATATAGTATAACTGTATAAGTTGGTTACTTGAATCTATAAGGTTTTTGTTATCTCGCTACTTTAAATTATTTTCTTTATTTCACAGTAGAAAGCTCATCTGTGTCCAGTATGTTTCAACGATACATGATCACACGACAGGAAATAAATGGTTTATCTACTCGTGCTGACAACATTTATTTATCTCTCCCTCTCTCCTCAGGGTCAGAGGTCACTACCAGCTACAGCAGTAGAGCCATGTCTGAGGTGGCCGTGCCCGAGATGATGATGCCACCCCTGGCGGTGCCTGCAGCATGCCAGGTGGAGAAGCCTGTGCCAGGTCCTGGCATGGGGGACTTCAGCTATGTGGGCATCGATGCCATCCTGGAACAGATGAGGAGGAAGGCCATGAAACAGGGTTTCGAGCTCAACATCATGGTAGTGGGTGAGTTAACATGGAGGGGAGAGAACACATGCACACAAATTCAATCAATCACATTTATTTTATAAAGCCCTTTTTATGTCAGCTGTTGTCACAAAATACAACGAGCAAGCAATGCAAATGGAATACACAGACACAACATCATGGTAGTGGGTGAGTTAACATGGTTAGAGACGGATGCATGTGTACTGTATCATAGGTTTACATCATATGAGGTCACCATCTTGGTCTGCTGTTATCCAGCCTGAAGAAACACATGCCAACAGGTGATGGTGTGTGATAGGGCCTAGGTTGTGTTATGGTGAGAGGCTGAGCTACTGTTATTCAAGGAGGATATATCTCTAATTAAACCAGAGGATCTCTGTAATCAAGAAGGCTCTCATTTTCCCTAAACCAGCCTCTCAAATCTCATTTCCAGTACTGAGCCAACACACCCACACACATACGCACACACACACGCATACACACACTCACCCCCCCCCCCACACACACACACACACACACACACAAACACCCACACACACAGCCTTTTGACACTCTCCCACCATGCTAACACTCCCTCATTAGTGTGTGATGGCTCCTTTTTAAAACAGTAGCTTTTTACAACACACGCACACACCTTCCTTCACCAGAGACCAGTGCCTATAAAACCCCTTTTCCATGCTGTCTCCACACCGCGTCTCCATTTGAAGATGTCGCGACTGTCAGTCTGCTCTGTGGGTTCTTTCCGTGGATAAAACGGCTCACTTAGACTACAGCCTACAGGGGTACTTCAGAGAGGGAGGATGCAGACTCATCCATGGAAAAGAAAATCCAACACTACCACTTAGTCTCCTGCAGTGTATAAGTGCACTCAGGTGTAATGTCATTTAAGTCTGCCTGTGAGAACAGAGCTGTAGGGAAGGAGACAGAATATAGGACGTTAGGTTAATCTTTGAATTTATCTATGCTACAGACTGCTCTGGTATATAATAAGAATACTGAACAAAAATATAAATGCAACGATTTTACTGAGTTGCAGTTCATATAAGGAAATCAGTCAATTTGGGGGGTGAGGCAGGGCCCAGTGTTAGTGTCTCTGTTCTCTCTCTCTGTGGTGTGGAGTCTGCCGACAAATCTACATTCCTCTCACATTCCCCTGTGGTTGGCCCTAGTGTCCCGGATACAGCGCTTGGCAACCTGCCACCCATTCAGCTCAGGGCTGACTGTAGACTACGCCATCACTAAAGACATGAGACCCGGGCAGACGGGGACATACACACACACACACACACACACATAAATATATACAAACACACACACACACACATACACACAGCTGCAGCATGGGTCAAGCGATCACCCACACACACACCAGGGGGGAGAAGAGCGCCATCTTAATCTGAACCATCACCCTGTCAATCTGTGGTACTTCTCCAGATGTTATTCAATTGGGACAGTGGGAACGTAATGGCAGCCTACATCCCGTGTGTTAGCTACCTGGTTTATGGAAGCTGATTCTGCTGGGCATACCTCCACACTCCTTATATGATAACCAGCCTTGACCCTCAGTCACACACTGCTAATCTAATGATACCTCCACACTCCTTATATGATAACCAGCCTTGACCCTCAGTCACACACTGCTAATCTAATGATACCTCCACACTCCTTATATGATAACCAGCCTTGACCCTCAGTCACACACTGCTAATCTAATGATACCTCCACACTCCTTATATGATAACCAGCCTTGACCCTCAGTCACACACTGCTAATCTAATGATACCTCCACACTCCTTATATGATAACCAGCCTTGACCCTCAGTCACACACTGCTAATCTAATGATACCTCCACACTCCTTATATGATAACCAGCCTTGACCCTCAGTCACACACTGCTAATCTAATGATACCTCCACACTCCTTATATGATAACCAGCCTTGACCCTCAGTCACACACTGCTAATCTAATGATACCTCCACACTCCTTATATGATAACCAGCCTTGACCCTCAGTCACACACTGCTAATATGTCTGTAAGTCTGAGCTAAAGATGTAAAATACCAGGCGTACAGCGGACAGTAAAAACCAGCCTTTGAGGTTCTGCTGAATAGGGCTGATCTCTGGACAACCAGGACTCCTGGGTCTGTGTTTATCAAGCATCTAAGAGTAGCAGGGCTTATCTAGGATCAGGTCCTCCCTGTCTATAACAATCTGATTCATTATAATCTAAAATGCAAAACGTATCCTAGATCAGCACTCCTACTCTGAGATGGTTACTAATGGTTAATACATTTGTATTGTTGTATTGATACCCTATCCTTCCTCTCCAAAATCTGGCTGATCTTTGGGTCCAGCCATTCAGCCAGGGGGATTAGTAATGTAGCATTTCTACAGCCCATCCCACTGAGCCCTGACCTAGGTCCCATAGCTCACAGGATTCCCCTCTTCAGGCTCAGCCATTCATACCAACCATTCAGGGGAATTCTAGGCCCCCTAAAAATGTGATACAGTACCGCTGGTATGGGGCTTCAACAGCACGAGCACAGGGTTGGTATGGCCTGTATAATGCACATCTCTTCTTAACAATCACATCGGTCCCCAAACGGGCAATTCTGGTTTTCATAACAGATTAATAATCCAAAATGTATTCTAAGTATTGTATGGCAATGTTTCTGTGGTATGGTTTTTGATCGGAGTACAGTAAGTAGTTAATTCTTATATGTGGTGGAAACACTGGAGAGGTTCTCTGGAAAGCTTTGATTCTTTAGGTCCGAAGCAAACACAAATGTGTTGTAAAGGGACGGTACTGTACCAGTTCCCATAATGTTATAGGTCAGAAGTCAAGACACTGAGGGCCCATTTATTAATCGGTTGTTTGAAGCCTTAAATCCCAAATGAAGTTTAAACATATAAACCTCCATTATTATGCAACTCTGTGTGTGTGTGTGTGTGCGTGCCTGCCAGCCTGCGTGCAACAGAGGCCCTGAGCTCCAGTCTCAGTGTGGACTTAACCAGACTGTGAACTAAACTGTGTGGGTTATCTGTCCAGGGGCCATACACACTACACTCTCCCTCGTTAACCCAGGGGCCACAGTTGATCCCAGGGGCCACAGGTGATGTTGGCGGTACAGTCAGGTGCTACAGGCAACCTTTTGGGTCCACGTACAGTATGTTATTCCCTAATTCTACAATATTCAGGGTTCTATCTAGTCCAGCTGTTTGAACTCTCTCTCCCATAGCCTCTACCTCCTGACCCACACACACACACAAACACACCCTCCTCTCCAGCTGGTTCCTCTCTACTGCTGAGAGAGCAGAACTCTTCTCGACTGCAGTGTTTCATGTCTACCCAGCGTTGCAGATGGCGGTCACATGTCCTGCCCAACAGCTGCCCAAGTCTAATGTTTTAATGCTCTATTGCAGGTCTCATCAACTACATTCAGCCGTCGGCTGATTCTTTTCTTGAGTGGATGGTCAGGGGGCCGGAACATAATTACAAATAATTTGTAGACTGTAAATTTACTGCAAGAAGCCCAAACAGATATAATATTAGACTTAAACATGATCATTTCAAACCTTGCTTACATTTGTATACGATCACATACATCTCTCTATTATGCATGGGAATACTTTGGAACAAATTTCCAAAAAATGTCTGGTGTTTTTACAGTCTTTTATGTCCAAAAATATAAGATTGTTTACAATTAGGGAAACCTGCTCTATTGGTAGAGATAATAGAACAGGGGGAGGTGTGTGTGTGCGTCATAAACTCTTGGTGTGTGTGTGTGTGACCCAAAGGTCTTTGTCGACAATGGGCAGTTTATAGTGCAGTGATCTGAGCCAGCGTCAGCTGCACCAACCACAGACGGATGAGTTTCACACTTCTAGAAGAATGGGTTTCTCCAACCAACAGCTCTATGGCGGTCAAGGCTCAGCTCCGTTCAAGGCTCAGTGTGGTTTCTTTGACAGCGGAGCTCTTCCCCAGACTGCAGGTCTGAGCCCTGAAAGGACATGCACTTCCTTTAGGTCAACTTTAATGGGAGGGAGGGAGGGAGGGAGGGAGGGAGGGAGGGAGGGAGGGAGGGAGGGAGGGAGGGAGGGCGGGCCTTGGTCTTGGCCAAGAGACTGAGTCATTATTCTGTACTTGTGACTCATCTCAGAGCCACAGAGAAAATGGTGAAAACAACACCGACGTAACGTGTGTGTTTGTGGGGGCCTTACTGCAGACACCTGTAACTTCTCCCCCACTGCAGCCAAAATCTTGTGAAATAGTGTCTCTTTCTCCCCTGAGTGGCTGTGACAGGCTGGAACAGCTCTGGTGTTAAATTCTCTTTGTCTCGGTTTGAAATAATGAGGCCATGCTAGTCATTCATTACACCACTGGAATGAACCTGTTAGTGGGAAGAGTGTCTGAAGAATGTTATGCAGAAAGGTGAGAGGAAGTCCACCATTGTTAGAGTAGTCTATTCCCTAAAGTCAGACTAGATGAGAGGGTATTGGTTCAAATCAAGCCATGGACTACTGTTTTACCTTCATTGTGTGTAGCTCAGTTGGTAGAGCATGGAGCTTGCAGCTCCAGGGTTGTGGGTTCGATTCCCACGGGGGAGCAGTACGAAAAAAGTATTAATGTATGTAGTCACTACTGTAAGTCACTCTGGATCAGACCGTCTGCTAAATGACTAAACTGTCAATTGTGGCTTTATTCTATTTATTTGCACGACCAATGTGTCTGATATTCAGTTGTGTGTTACCACTTGTGTTCTACGTGTGTTTGTGTGTGTGTGTGTATAGGGCAGAGCGGCCTAGGGAAGTCCACTCTGATGAACACCCTGTTCAAGTCCAAGGTGAGCCGTAAGTCAGTGCAGGCCACGTCCCAGGAGAAGATCCCCAAGACTATCGATATCAAGTCTGTCAGCCACGGTGAGAGGAAGAGGAAAGGAGGAAGCAATCACTCCTACTGTTTATTTTACTCCTTCTTTTCTGTACCTCTCCATCTTTCACTTTATCAATCTCACACTCTACTCAGTCTACCTTGTTGTGTTTACAGTCTGAGGTACATTTGGCCTCTCAGAGGTGCTTGTATTCAATCTAACCATCTCTGTATGTCTCTCTGTGTGTGTCTCTGTCTGTCTCTGTTCAGACATTGAGGAGAAGGGGGTGAGGATGAAACTAACTGTTATCGACACGCCCGGCTTCGGGGATCAGATCAACAACGAGAACTGGTACAGTAACAGTACAATCCATAGCTGAAATGTTATATTTATAATATGCTTATATTTGAATGTATGTGTGCATAGATATTTATCTATCTATCTATATCTCTCTCTATCTATATACAGTACCAGTCAAAAGTTTGCACACACCTACTCATTCAAGGGTTTTTCTTTATTTTTACTGTTTTCTACATTGTAGAATAATAGTGAAGACATCAAAACTATGAAATAACACATATGGAATCATGTAGTAACCAAAAAAGTGTTAAACAAATCAATATATATTTTATATTTTAGATTCTTCAAATAGCCACCCTTTGCCTTGATGACAGCTTTGCACACTCTTGGCAATCTCTCAACCAGCTTCACCTAGAATGCTTTTCCAACAGTCTTGAAGGAGTTCCCACAAATGCTGAGCACTTGTTGGCTGCTTTTCCTTCACTCTGCGGTCCGACTCATCCCAAACCATCTCAATTGTGTTGAGGTCGGGTGATTGTAGAGGCCAGGTCATCTGATGCAGCACTCCATCACTCTCCTTCTTGGTCAAATAGCCCTTACACAACCTGGAGGTGTGTTGGGTCATTGTCCTGTTGAAAAACAAATGATAGTCCCACTAAGCACAAACCAGATTGGATGACGTATCGCTGCAGAATGCTGTGGTAGCCATGCTGGTTAAGTGTGCCTTGAATTCTAAATAAATCACAGGCAGTGTCACCAGCAAAGCACCCCCACACCATCACACCTCCTCCTCCATGCTTCATGGTGGGAACCACACATGCGGAGATCATCCATTCACCTACTCTGCGTCTCACAAAGACACGGCAGTTGGAACCAAACATTTGGATTCATCAGACCAAAGGACAGATTTCCACAAATCTAATGTCCATTGCTCGTGTTTCTTGGCCCAAGCAGGTCTCTTCTTATTATTGGTGTCCTTTAGTAGTGGTTTCTTTGCAGCAATTTGACCATGAAGGCCTGATTCACGCAGTCTCCTCTGAACAGTTGATGTTGAGATGTGTCTGTGAAGCATTTATTTGGGCTGCAATTTCTGAGGCTGGTAACTCTAATGAACTTAATCCTCTGCAGCAGAGGTAACTCTGGGTCTTCCATTCCGGTGGTGGTCCTCATGAGAGGTAGTTTCATCATAGGGCTTGATGATCTTTGCGACTGCACTTGAAGAAACTTTCAAAGTTCTTGAAATGTTCTGTATTGACTGACCTTCATGTCTTAAAGTAATGATGGACTGTCATTCCTCTTTGCTTATTTGAGCTTATTTACACAAATTATCAAGGAACCTACCAGGTACAACCCTAAATCTGTAAACATGGGCACCCTCATAGATATCATCCTGACTAATTTACCCTCTAAATACACCTCCGCTGTCTTCAACCAGGATCTCAGCGATCACTGCCTCATTGCCTGCGTCCGTAATGGGTCCGCGGTCAAACGACCACCCCTCATCACTGTCAAACGCTCCCTAAAACACTTTAGCGAGCAGGCCTTTCTAATTGACCTGGCCGGGTATCCTGGATGGATATTGACCTCATTCCGTCAGTAGAGGATGCCTGGTTGTTCTTTAAAAATGCTTTCCTCTCCATCTTAAATAAGCATGCCCCATTCAAAAAAAAATGCTGAACTAAGAACAGATATAGCCCCTGGTTCACCTCAGACTTGACTGCCCTTGACCAGCACAAAAACATCCTATGGTGTACTACATTAGCATCGAACAGCCCCCGCGATATGCAACAAGTCAGGAACCAATATACACAATCAGTTAGGAAAGCAAAGGCTAGCTTTTTCAAACAGAAATTTGCATCATGTAGAAATAACTTCAAAAGGTTTTGGGACACTGTAAGGTCCATGGAGAATAAGAGCACCTCCTCCCAGCTGCCCACTGCACTGAGGCTAGGAAACACTGTCACCACCGATAAATCTACGATAATCGAGAATTTCAACAAGCATTTTGCTATGGCTGGCCATGCTTTCCACCTGGCTACCCCTACCCCGGCCACCAGCTCTGCACCCTCCGCTGCAATTTGCCCATGCCCCCCCGCTTCTCCTTCACCCAAATTCAGATAGCTGATGTTCTAAAAGAGCTGCAAAATCTGGACCCCTACATATCAGCTGGGCTAGCTGATTAGCCGCCGAAATTGTCGCAACCCCTATTACGAGCCTGTTCAACCTCTCTTTCGTATCGTCTGAGATCCCCCAGAGATTAAAAAGCTGCCACGGTCATCACCCTCTTCAAAGGGGGTGACACTCTAGATCCAAACTGTTACAGACCTATATCCATCCCGCCCTGCCTTTTGAAAGTATTTGAAAGCCAAGTTAACAAACAGATCACCGACCATTTCGAATCCCACCGTACCTTCTCCGCTATGCAATCTGGTTTCCAAGCCACGCTCAAGGGCCTAAACGATATTATAACCGCGATCGATAAAAGACAGTACTGTGCAGCCGTCTTCATCGACCTGGCCAAGGCTTTCGACTCTGTCAATCACCGCATTCTTATTGGCAGACTAAATAGCCTTGGTTTCTCAAATGACTGCCTCGCCTGGTTCACCAACTACTTCTCAGATAGAGTTCAATGTGTCAAATTGGAGGGCCTGTTGTCTGGACCTCTGGCAGTCTCTATGGGGGTGCCACAGGGTTCAATTCTCGGGCCGACTATTCTCTGTGTATATCAATGATGTTGCTCTTGCTGCTGGTGACTCTCAGATCCACCTCTACGCAGACGACACCATTTTGTATACATCTGGCCCTTCATTGGACACTGTGTTAACAAACCTCCAAACGAGCTTCAATGCCATACAACACTCCTTCCGTAGCCTCCAACTGCTCTTAAACGCTAGTAAAACTAAATGCATGCTCTTTAATCGAACGCTGCTTGCACCCGCCCGCCCGACTAGAATCACTACTCTCAGCGGGTCTGACTTAGAATATGTGGACAACTACAAATACCTAGGTGTCTGGTTAGACCGTAAACTCTCCTTCCAGACTCACATTAAGCATATCCAATCCAAAGTTAAATCTAGAATCGGCTTCCTATTTCGCAACAAAGCCTCCTTCACTCATGCTGCCAAACATGCCCTCGTAAAACTGACTATCCTACCGATCCTTGACTTCGGCGATGTCATTTACAAAATAGCCTCCAACACTCTACTCAGCAAATTGGATGTAGTCTATCACAGTGCCATCTGTTTTTCCACCAAAGCCCCATATACTACCCACCATTGTGACCTGTGCGCTCTCATTGGCTGGCCCTCACTACATATTCGTCGCCAAACCCACTGTCTCCAGGTCATCTATAAATCACTGCTAGGCAAATCCCCGCCTTATCTTAGCTCATTGGTCAACATAGCAACACCCACCCGTAGTATGCGCTCCAGCAGGTATATCTCACTGGTCATTCCCAAAGCCAACACCTCCTTTGGCCGCCATTCCTTCCAGTTCTCTGCTGCCAATGACTGGAACGAACTGCAAAAATCTCTGAAGCTGGAGACTCTTATCTCCCTCGCTAACTTTAAGCATCAGTTGTCAGAGCAGCTAACCGATCACTGCACCTGTACACAGCCCATCTGTAATTAGCCCACCCAACTACCTCATCACCATATGGTTATTTATTTATTTGTACCCCAGTATCTCTATTTGCACATCATCTTTTGCACATCTATCACTCCAGTGTTAATACTAAATTGTAATTATTTTGCACTATGGCCTATTTATTGCCTTACCTCCATAACTTACTACATTTGCACACACTGTATATAGATTTTCTATTGTGTTTTTGACTGTACGTTTTTGTTTATCCCATATGTAACTCTGTGTTGTTGTTGTTTTTATCGCACTGCTTTGCTTCATCTTGTAAATGAGAACTTGTTCTCAACTGGCTTACCTGGTTAAATAAAGGTTAAATAAATAAATAAAAAATATGGACTTGGTCTTTTACCAAATAGGGCTATCTTCTGTATACCATCCCTACCTTGTCACAACACAACCGATTGGCTCAAACGCATTAAGAAGGAAAGAAATTCCACAAATTAACTTTTAACAAGGCACACCTGTTAATTGAAATGCATTCCAGGTGACTACCTCATGAAGCTGGTTGAGAGAATTTGTTTAACACTTTTTTGGTTACTACATGATTCCATATGTGTTATTTCATAGTTTTGATGTCTTCACTATTATTCTACATTGTAGAAAATAGTAAGAAATAAAGAAAAACTCTGGAATGAGTAGGCGTGTCCAAACTTTTGGCTGGTACTGTATATACAGTTAATATAAATGGTTACCCAATCCATCTCATCTAGATGACTAGTGTACACAGTACTGTATATGACCTCATCTATCCTCTTTCTCTCCCCCCTGCTAACTCCCTCTTCCTGTCTTTCTCACTTGTCTCCCTCTATCCATCCCCCAAAACTCCCCCTCTCCATCTTTCTCTTTTAATCTGCCTCTCCCCTTCCTTCCACTTCCTGTCTCCCCCCCCCCCCTCCACAGTTGGCAGCCTATCATGAAGTTCATTAATGCCCAGTATGAGCAGTACCTTCAGGAGGAGATCAACATCAACAGGAAGAAGAGGATTCCAGACTCACGGGTTCACTGCTGCATCTACTTCATACCCCCTACTGGACACTGGTGAGTGCTGCTACGCGTACACACACACACATGCGTACATACACACACAGGAAGACGCGCACATGCACAGACACACACATACACACACACACACACACAGTTAGACGTGCACAGACACACTCACACATTCCTTGTGAAGGGTATGAATGTGTGGAATGTTTCAGGTGAATGTTTAGATATGGCTGGGAGGTAATCAAGCTGATTATTAGCTAAGCTTCATTCTTTGGATATTCAAAAAATAAAAAATGGTCCTATGCTGCTAGTGGGAGCGATAAGAGAACAGTGTGTGTGTGTGTGTGTGTGTGTGTGTGTGTGTGTGTGTGTGCACATGCTTGTCTGTCTGACCCAAAGGTCTTTGTCGACAATAATTGTCATACACACACAAGCACAGTGTCAACGCAACGGTGCTGCTGCCCCCTTTTGTCCTTGACTGAACAGTAAAGAGTATGTAACTGGGAGTTTGTAAAAGGAGGGAGAGTGAGAAAGAAAGAGTGAGAGAGGGAGGGAAGGAAGTGATTTATGTTAGATAAGCAGTGAGTCATAGGCAGAGTCCTACTCAAATAGCCCAGACTCATCAGAACAGAAGAGGAGAACACGGTGAGTTTGCCATGACTTTCTAATACACGTTAGTTATAAAAACAATCTAAAGCCCTGTGCTGTGCCATTCAAATATCAGATATGATGTCGAACGTCATACTGTGCCCTTCTGTGTAACATATACAGCCTATGTATGGGCCAGATTCCCAGCCAGAATGGAGATTCTCCATTGAGTACGCTTTTTAGTCCAGGACTAGGACTGTCTATGTTTGAGAAACCTGCCCTAAATGTACAGTTCATGTTCTGCTACCCCTCACCACCGCTCTGACTTGACCTGTAGTGGATCCTCCTCTGCTCCAGCAGCTGAGAGGGACAGACAGATGTGGAAACACTTACTCTTCCAGACCCCCCTCCATTTCCTGTTTCACAGGCAGCGAGTTGCAACACGTCCCATAACACCCGTTTTCCATGACTGGAAAAAAATGTATTTCTCTCTCTCTTTCGCTATGCCTTGAAACAAACGCATGTGTTTGCCTCCCTGCTCCAAGTTTCTGTCTCGGGTGTTACTGCTGCTCACACATCTGGGCCTGATTGAGCTTTGTATAGAGCTAGCCCCCCATCTGTGGTGTATTGGTTTAACCCAACACTCCTGGGAACCTTAACAGTCTGGGGCGTACCGATAGTAAATTCAGGAGAAGCCATTGTATCTGACTATGCTGGTGTCAGCAAATTGAATTTACTAGCAATAGTAGTAGTAGTTACACATTTACCTGAACTAGGGAGGAGGAGGGAAATGTATATTTGAGGATTTCCAGTGTGTGTGTTGGCATCCCGCTCTCGCTCTCATCACAGCAGCTTGATTCTGTTTAGCTTTTGAGACCCTGTTTTGCTTTTCCACATTGCCATGGTGATCTACACACACACAAAATGAGTCATCATAGCCCACCTGTTGGTACAGTATACAGCTATTACCCTTTAATTGAATTTCCCTCCTGTGTCATGTCTGCTCCTCCTTTGCATGTACCCCATAATGGTTCTACCCTTTGTTGCTATGGCCTGTGGTCCTGTCCTGTGGTGGACTGCAGGCTTTGCCCTCATGTCTGTGGTTGTGATTTACAAGAGCGATAGCCATGACATATTGTGCCCCCCCTCCAATATAGCTTGAGCATCGTTTCATGTTCTTCCAGCGTTGCAGATGTCTGTCACATGTCCTGCCCAACAACTATCCAAGTCTGTTTAATACTCTAGTGGGAGCGATAAGAGAACAGTGTGTGTGTGTGTGTGTGTGTGTGTGTGTGTGTGTGTGCACATGCTTGTCTGTCTGACCCAAAGGTCTTTGTCGACAATGGGCAGTTTATAATGCAGTGATCTGAGCCAGCGTCAGCTGCACAAACCACAGACAGATGAGTTTCACACTTATGGAAGACTGGGTTTCTCCAATCAACAGCTCAATGGCGGTCAAGGCTCAGCTCAGTTCAGTTCAAGGCTCAGTGTGGTTTAATTGACAGTTACAGACATGCACTGACTGATGTGGGTCTCAGATATACAGTAGGTTTAGCTAGTGCGTAGAGTATGTATGTGACGCTACTGTACTGTATATCTGTGCTTGGGGCGGCAGGTAGCTTAGTGGGTAAGAGCGTTGTGCCAGTAACCGAAAGGTCGCTGGTTCTAATCCCCGAGCCGACTAGGTGAAAAATCTGTCGATGTGCCCTTAAGCAAGGCACTTAACCCTAATTGCTCCTGTAAGTCGCTCTGGATAAGAGCGTCTGCTAAATGACGTAAATGTAAATGTAATGTAAATGTGCTTGGGTTGCCCTCAGACAGCTGTGCTGTGGGTATTTTTCTTGGAGGATACCGCCCTCTGGTGGTTCTAGGATGTATCACACTGTCGATCCAAATAAGGACTGTTGAACAAGAACTATAAAGCAGACCTGGGTTCTAATACTATTTGAAATCATTTCTAATACATTAGCCAGGCTTGATTGAGCTTGCCTGTTGCAATGGAACCAACAGAAAAGTCCCAAAAGTGAAAACCCTGCCCACCTGGCGCTCCAGGCAGGCTAAAGCGTATACTCAAAGTATGTGAGACATTTCAAATAGTGTTTGAACCCAGGTCTGCTATAAATACAGGTGAACTGAAGCCCCTCTCTCACCCCCCCACCCCCCTCTCGCTCTCGCTCTCGCTCTCAGTCTGCGGCCTCTGGATGTGGAGTTTATGAGGCGTCTCAGTAAGGTGGTCAATATTGTTCCTGTCATCGCCAAGGCAGACACACTCACCCTGGAGGAGAGGGACTTCTTCAAAAAGAAGGTGAGCTCTCTCTCTTTCTTTCGCTCTATTCCTCTCTACTTCCATCTTTATCTGTCTCCAATTCCTCTCTTTCTGTTGCATGCTGTCTCTCGCGCTCTCTCTCGCTCGCATATTTTGTGTTCTCCGCAGCAACAGGAAATGTTTCTTAAGTTGTTTGGCCACTGCTGCCCGTTCGGTCACTGGCCAATGAGAGAACACTGAGGATGCTTTGTGTGTATAGAGTACTTGTGAGGTCAGAACCTATAAAGCCAGGCTCTGGATTGGCTAGAGAGGAGTTAAGTGGGAGTCCAACCTCTCTCTCCCTCCCTCCTTTTTCTCCCTCTCCATCTCGCTCTCTCTTTCTCTCTCTCCCCCTTCTCTCTCTCCCTCCCTTCCCAAATTTTGGATTGGCTAGAGGAGAGTTCTGTGAGTTCTGTCCAACTTCTCCCGTCTCCTTCCCCCTCTCCCCTGACTGCTGATGTGGCCACAGTGGACTCCATTACATCACTTCATCTTATGTGGTGGGGATCTGGAACATTAAAAAGTAATTTGATCACAGACCCCAAGAGCGCGAAAGAGAGGGAAAGGAGCAGAAGTAGCAGCAGTAGTAGTAGCAATAGTAGCAGTAGTAGATGCAGTAGTAGTAGCAATAGTAGCAGTAGTAGATGCAATAGTAGCAGTAGTAGATGCAGTAGTAGAGCAATAGTAGCAGTAGTAGATGTAGCAGTAGTAGTAGATGCAGTAGTAGCTGTAGCAGTAGTAGTAGATGCAGTAGCAGTAGTAGTAGCAGTAGTAGATGTAGTAGTAGTAGATGTAGTAATAGATGTAGATGCAGTAGTAGTAGTAGATGCAGTAGTAATAGTAGATGTAGATGTACAGTCGTGGTCAAAAGTTTTGAGAATGACACAAATATAAATTTTCTCAAAGTCTGCTGCCTCAGTTTTTATGATGGCAATTTGCATATACTCCAGAATGTTATGAAGAGTGATCAGATGAATTGCAATTAATTGCAAAGTCCCTCTTTGCCATGAAAATTAACTTAATCCCCCCAAAACATTTACACTGCATTTCAGCCCTGCCACAAAAGGACCAGCTGACATCATGTCAGTGATTCTCTCGTTAACACAGGTGAGAGTGTTGACGAGGACAAGGCATGCGTACATACACTCTGTCATGCTGATTGAGTTAGAATAACAAACTGGAAGCTTTAAAAGGAGGGTGGTGCTTGAAATCATTGTTCTTCCTCTGTTAACCATGGTTACCTGCAAGGAAACACGTGCCGTCATCATTGCTTTGCACAAAAAGGGCTTCACAGGCAAAGATATTGCTGCTAGTAAGATTGCACCTAAATCAACCATTTATCGGATCATCAAGAACTTCAAGGAGAGACGTTCAATTGTTGTGAAGAAGGCTTCAGGGCGCCCAAGAAAGTCCAGCAAGCGCCAGGACCGTCTCCTAAAGTTGATTCAGCTGCGGGATCGGGGCACCACCAGTGCAGAGCTTGCTCAGGAATGGCAGCAGGCAGGTATGAGTGCATTTGCACGCACAGTGTGGCGAAGACTTTTGGAGGATGGCCTGGTGTGAAGAAGGGCAGCGAGGAAGCCACTTCTCTCCAGGAAAAACATCAGGGACAGACTGATATTGTGCAAAAGGTACAGGGATTGGACTGCTGAGGACTGGGTTAAAGTCATTTTCTCTGATGAATCCCCTTTCCGATTGTTTGGGGCATCCGTAAAAATACTTGCCCGGAGAAGACAAGGTGAGCGCTACCATCAGTCGTGTATCATGCCAACAGTAAAGCATCCTGAGACCATTCATGTGTGGGCTTGCTTCTCAGCCAAGGGAGTGGGCTCACTCACAATTTTGCCTAAGAACACAGCCATGAATAAAGAATGGTACCAACACATCCTCAGAGAGCAACTTCTCCCAACCATCCAAGAACAGTTTGGTGACGAACAATGCCTTTTCCAGCATGATGGAGCACCTTGCCATAAGGCAAAAGTGATAACTAAGTGGCTTGGGGAACAAAACATCGACATTTTGGGTCCATGGCCAGGAAACTCCCCAGACCTTAATCCCATTGAGAACTTGTGGTCAATCCTCAAGAGGCGGGTGGACAAACAAAAACCCACACATTCTAACAAACTCCAACCATTGATTATGCAAGAATGGGCTGCCATCAGTCAGGGTGTGGCCCAGAAGTTAATTGATAGCATGCCAGGGCGGATTGCAGAGGTCTTGAAAAAGAAGGGTCAACACTGCAAATATTGACTCTTTGCATAAACGTAATGTAATTGTCAATAAAAGCCTTTGACACTTATGGAATGCTTGTAATTATACTTCAGTATACCATAGTAACATCTGACAAAAATATCTAAAAACACTGAAGCAGCAAACTTTGTGAAGACCAATACTTGTGTCATTCTCAAAACTTTTGACCACGACTGTAGATGCAGTAGTAGTAGTAGTAGTAGATGCAGTAGTAGTAGTAGATGCAGTAGTAGTAGTAGATGCAGTAGTAGAAGTAGATGCAGTAGTAGTAGATATAAAAGTAGTAATTGAAAAAGGCAGGCATTCATTTCAAGACAATTACTGGCAGCCATGCTCACGGATCCCCGCCAGTGTCCCTCTCATTAGGGAAGCTCTGTATGACCGGATATAAAAAGTTGAACTGGTGTGTGTGTGTGTGTGTGTGCTTGTCTGTTTGTAAACGTGTACACTGACAGTGATGGGCTGTTGGTTTCAACAGAACATTTTGGAGGTATTTAGTGAAGGGATTTACGTTAACTCCACCTAAAGCTGTGGGTAACGCAGTGTGCAGATGGTCTCGATTTCTCACAAAATACTGTTATGTATCCAAAGTATTTGTCGGACATATCTGGCTAATAGAGGTTGTTCTGCTTTTGCTCGTGTGTTCCCATAACCTTTAGTTCATGTATTCAAGTCTCTGCAAGGGTGTATAATGCATTTGTCGTGTTTCTCAACCTTTTTTATAGCAGGGACCAGCAAGCTATGTGTTTTATTGTAGGCATAGGATTTTTACTGAATGTTGTGTTAGCAGTACTGGGGCAGTCTCACCCTCACCTCTCACCCAGAACTGTTTTTGTGTCCCCAGATCAGGGAAGAGCTACGGGCCAATGGGATCGACGTGTACCCCCAGAAGGAGTTTGACGAGGACGCCGAGGACCGGATGATTAATGAGAAAATCAGGGTGATTTGAGTTGACACATCTGTCCACAGCTTTACCCACCTGCCATAAGCCCTCACATTACCGCTTATAGCTCCACTCACCTGTGCAACGTAGCTGTTACAGTAGGTCCCTGTTGATCCATGTTTATAACCTGGTTAAATTACAGTTAGGTCCCTGTTGATCCATGTTGATAACCTGGTTAAATTACAGTTGGGTCCCTGTTGATCCATGTTGATAACCTGGTTAAATTACAGTTAGGTCCCTGTTGATCCATGTTGATAACCTGGTTATATTACAGTTAGGTTCCTGTTGATCCATGTTGATAACCTGGTTATATTACAGTTAGGTCCCTGTTGATCCATGTTTATAACCTGGTTAAATTACAGTTGGGTCCCTGTTGATCCATGTTGATAACCTGGTTAAATTACAGTTAGGTCCCTGTTGATCCATGTTGATAACCTGGTTATATTACAGTTAGGTTCCTGTTGATCCATGTTGATAACATGGTTATATTACGGTTAGGTCCCTGTTGATCCATGTTGATAACCTGGTTATATTACAGTTAGGTCCCTCTGCTGCAATATACAGTGGGGAGAACAAGTATTTGATACACTGCCGATTTTGCAGGTTTTCCTACTTACAAAGCATGTAGAGGTCTGTAATTTTTATCATAGGTACACTTCAACTTTGAGAGACGGAATCAGAAAATCACATTGTATGATTTTTAAGTAATTAATTTGCATTTTATTGCATGACATAAGTATTTGATCACCCACCAACCAGTAAGAATTCCGGCTCTCACAGACCTGTTAGTTTTTCTTTAAGAAGCCCTCCTGTTCTCCACTCATTACCTATATTAACTGCACCTGTTTGAACTCGTTACCTGTATAAAAGACACCTGTCCACACACTCAATCAAACAGACTCCAACCTCTCCACAATGGCCAAGACCAGAGAGCTGTGTAAGGACATCAGGGATAAAATTGTAGACCTGCACAAGGCTGGGATGGGCTACAGGACAATAGGCAAGCAGCTTGGTGAGAAGGCAACAACTGTTGGCGCAATTATTACAAAATGGAAGAAGTTCAAGATGACGGTCAATCACCCTCGGTCTGGGGCTCCATGCAAGATCTCACCTCGTGGGGCATCAATGATCATGAGGAAGGTGAGGGATCAGCCCAGAACTACACGGCAGGACCTGGTCAATGACCTGAAGAGAGCTGGGACCACAGTCTCAAAGAAAACCATTAGTAACACACTACGCCGTCATGGATTAAAATCTTGCAGCGCACGCAAGGTCCCCCTGCTCAAGCCAGCGCATGTCCAGGCCCGTCTGAAGTTTGCCAATGACCATCTGGATGATCCAGAGGAGGAATGGGAGAAGGTAATGTTGTCTGATGAGACAAAAATAGAGCTTTTTGGTCTAAACTCCACTCGCCGTGTTTGGAGGAAGAAGAAGGATGAGTACAACCCCAAGAACACCATCCCAACCGTGAAGCATGGAGGTGGAAACATCATTCTTTGGGGATGCTTTTCTGCAAAGGGGACAGGACGACTGCACCGTATTGAGGAGAGGATGGATGGGGCCATGTATCGCGAGATCTTGGCCAACAACCTCCTTCCCTCAGTAAGAGCATTGAAGATGGGTCGTGGCTGGGTCTTCCAGCATGACAACGACCCGAAACACACAGCCAGGGCAACTAAGGAGTGGCTCCATAAGAAGCATCTCAATGTCCTGGAGTGGCCTAGCCAGTCTCCAGACCTGAACCCAATAGAAAATCTTTGAAAGTCCGTATTGCCCAGCGACAGCCCCGAAACCTGAAGGATCTGGAGAAGGTCTGTATGGAGGAGTGGGCCAAAATCCCTGCTGCAGTGTGTGCAAACCTGGTCAAGACCTACAGGAAACGTATGATCTCTGTAATTGCAAACAAAGGTTTCTGTACCAAAAATTAAGTTCTGCTTTTCTGATGTATCAAATACTTATGTCATGCAATAAAATGCAAATTAATTACTTAAAAATCATACAATGTGATTTTCTGAATTTTTGTTTTAGAATCCGTCTCTCACAGTTGAAGTGTACCTATGATACAAATTACAGACCTCTACATGCTTTGTAAGTAGGAAAACCTGCAAAATCGGCAGTGTATCAAATACTTGTTCTCCCCACTGTATATCAAATATCTGTTTATTTAACTCTTCATGGTATGTCTCTGTGTTCCTCCTGTCTGTCTCTGTGTTCCTTTTGTCCTGTCCTGTAGGAGATGATCCCGTTTGCTGTGGTGGGCAGCGACCAGGAGTACCAGGTCAACGGCAGGAGGCTTCTGGGAAGGAAGACAAAGTGGGGAACCATAGAAGGTAGATGGCTCCTCCTCTTTCTCCATCTCATTCCTCGTTTAACACTTTTTATCTTTGAGCAGGAGTCTCTCTCCTTAGCAGTATGAAGGCTAATGTTATAAAGAGGTATTTTTAGTCTTTCTTTGTTGATTTAATGTACACCGGCCAGTTAAGACTAAACGAGACAGAAGAGATGAGAGGGAGGAGTAGAGGGAGGAGGAGCAGGGCGGCACCTCTCCATTTTGGACTGTTTGGTTCCGGAACCTATTTGTCAGGATCCGGTACTTCTTGTGGCATGAAAAATTATTTAAACTTTTTGTAATGTAAAAATTCTAAGAAAAGCGATCAAAGTTCATTCGAGTTCCCTCTTCGTTAATTCAAAAAAAAATAAAGATGTTCAGCCCCGGCCTGATATTCTAAGAGTTGATTTGGGTTGGGCCGGCCCAGGCTTATGGTTTGCGCAACATTGTAACCTATGTTTGAGACCAATGCCTGGCCGTAGCTGTGTGAAAAGCACGGCAGTATCTCTCACAGAACTAGAATGAGATTCACTTTCCATGCAACTCTCATCTCTCCAGCTTTACACTTAATCATTTATTTCCTTATAGAATCATAGCTGCACGACGGGTTCTGGAGGAAATAGTTCAGAATAGCCTACTACACTTAAAATTTTGCCACAGAGGATCAATTGCTTCTTTTAAAAAATAGCCTATCTGTGGATTGTGTGTATCCCAATAACAAAGCATAGCCTACAGTTGTCAGTGAACAAACAGCATGCAGACAAAACAGGCCTTTCGCAATATTTCAAATACAATCGCGGGAAAACAGGTTGGAAAGTAAATGGCTCCTGCTAAAAAGAGAAGACTCTAATCTGTCTGCTGTAGGCTACCAAAATATTTAATCAACTTCCAAATATTGTTTTACTTTGAGAGATAGGCTTTTGGCACCAGCGCATCTGCCATCACCAGCGAGTGAGCTGCGCATCATTGGGTGAGTCAGTAAAACTGGAAATAATTTTTAGGACTAATTTCCACCTCATATTGTAGCCTACAATATATGTGTCTCCATACACCTAGGCCTAGGCTATTGATGGATTCAAGACAAGGTCATTTTTATTGATATCAGATTCTCAGTTTGTCAGTGTCAAAGTAGCCTGTCATTTCGATCATTTGTTCGTTATTAAAAAAGATTCTGCCAAAGTCTCCAGTCATGTAGAATTGCATGAAATGCATTTATAAAAGGCCACATTTTTCCCAGACCCTAGGCTACTAAACATTTTCCTCATATGTGAAACTTCTGTAAGTGCCTGTACTATACTGTTCTATGCCACTACATTTTACATTTACATTTACATTTTAGTCATTTAGCAGACGCTCTTATCCAGAGCGACACACAAATGCAATATGATGATATGCATGAAACACTTTATAATAAAGGTAATTTTCTCATGCGTTCCGGTACCTCAGAGCTCCCCAGGTCACCCGCCTCTCACGCTCACTTTTTGTTCCCGCACCTCCCGATTTACAAATTAGGCACTGGGGAGGAGTAGAGGGGGAGGAGTAAAGAGGGCCTTCAGATGATTTCACTTGTCCCCAGCCCAGACAGACAGAGAGACACAACGACTGTGCCATGCAGCTGGCTGAGACTACCGCTCTACAATGTGTCTGTATGGAAGAGGGAGGCAGAGCATGTAACACCCCTCTCTACAAAGGCTGCAGTGTTTACGGGCCTTTGGCCACATAGTGACAGAGGGGTGGAGCGGAGGGTACAGTACAGATCTATCTGTCCCCACTGAAAGTGCCACTCATTGGATTGGTGGCATGTTGTCTTAGAGGGATTCCACTGTACTCCACACACACACACACCTGGATACCTAGTTAGCCTCGGTCTCAACCAGGGGTAAACAACTAGATATACCCCTACTCCTTAAACTCAGTATGCGTGTTGTCTGGGTGCTTTTATTGGCATATGTACAGCTACTTATTGAACCATAGTTTTTTACTTGCCTCTCTCAATAGTAGATCTGAATTCCAGCTTAACGACCAGTACTACATTTATATGCAAACCATTTCAAAATGTCATCATCACACACTTCAAATGATCTGATTTCAACCATGCATTTAATTACATCACAATCAGATTGAGAGAGGCGACTACTTCTCTACTTCTATTAAAACCTCCCTAAAGAAAACCTTCATTTCCTGCAAAGGAAGCCTAGAGCGTCTGCAGTGGCAGGTTCTGAAGTTGGGTTATAGACCTGTGATACTATCTATAATTCAGACACACATCCTCCTGTGGCGGGCGGGGCAGCGTCTGACTGAATCTGTTCAGCCGTCAGCTTTAACTAGTGCTCTCTCTCTCAATTCAATTCAATTCAATTCAATTGAAGGGCTTTATTGGCATGGGAAACGTATGTTAACATTGCCAAAGCAAGTGAAGTAGATAGTAAACAAAAGTGAAATAAACAATAAATATTAACAGTAAACATTACACTCAGAAGTTCCACAAGAATAAAGACATTTCAAATGTCATATTATGTCTCTATACAGTGTTGTAACAATGTGCCAATAGTTAAAGTACAAATGGTGTTTGTTCTTCACTGGTTGCCCTTTTCTTGTGGCAACAGGTCACAAATCTTGCTGCTGTGATTGCACACTGTGGTTTTTCACCCAGTAGATAAGGGAGTTTATCAAAATTGGGTTTGTTTTCGAATTCTTTGTGGATCTCTGTAATCTGAGGGAAATATGTGTCTCTAATATGGTCATACATTTGGCAGGAGGTTAGGAAGTGCAGCTCAGTTTCCACCTCATTTTGTGGGCAGTGTGCACATAGCCTGTCTTCTCTTTAGAGACAGGTCTGCCTACGGCAGCCTTTCTCAATAGCAAGGCTATGCTCACTGAGTCTGTACATAGTCAAAGCTTTCCTTAAGTTTGGGTCAGTCACAGTGGTCAGGTATTCTGCCACTGTGTACTCTCTGTTTAGGGCCAAATAGCATTCTAGTTTGCGCTGTTATTTTGTTAATTCTTTCCAATGTGTCAAGTAATTCTCTTTTTGTTTTCTCATGATTTGGTTGGGTCTAATTGTGTTGTTGTTGTTGTCCTGTGGCTCTGTGGGGTTTGTTTGTTTTTGTGAACAGAGCCCCGGGACCAGCTTACATAGGGGACTCTTCTCCAAGTTCATCTCTCTGTAGGTGATGGCTTTGTTATGGAAGGTTTGGGAATCGCTTCCTTTTAAGTGGTTCTAGAATTTAACGGCTCTTTTCTGGATTTTGATAATTAGCGGGTATCGGCCTAATTCTGCTCTGCATGCATTATTTGGTGGTTTTCGTTGTACACAGAGGATATTTTTGCAGAATTCTGCATGCAGAGTCTCAATTTGGTGTTTGTCATATTTTGTGAATTCTTGGTTGGGTGAGCGGACCCCAGACCTCACGGCCATAAAGGGCAATGGGTTCTATAACTGGTTCAAGTATTTTTAGCCAGATCCTAATTGGTATGTCGAATTTTATGTTCCTTTTGATGGCAATAAAGGCCCTTCTTGCCTTGTCTCTCAGATCATTCACAGCTTTGTTGAAGTTACGTGTGGCGCTGATATTTAGGCTGAGGTATGTATAGTTTTTTGTGTGCTCTAGCGCAACAGTGTCTAGATGGAATTTGTATTTGTGGTCCTGGCAACTGGACCTTTTTTGGAACACCATTATTTTGGTCTTATTGAGATTTACTGTCAGGGCCCAGGTCTGACAGAATCTGTGCAGAAGATCTAGGTGCTGCTGTAGGCCCTCCTTGGTTGGTGACAGAAGCACCAGATCATCAGCAAACAGTAGACATTTGACTTCAGATTCTAGTAGGGTGAGGCCAGGTGCTGCATACTTCTAGTGCCCTCGCCAATTCGTTGATATATATGTTGAAGAGGGTGGGGCTTAAACTGCATCCCTGTCTCACCCCACGGCCCTGTGGAAAGAAATCTGTGTGTTTTTTGCCTATTTTAACCACACACTTGTTGTTTGTGTACATGGATTTTATAATGTCATATGTTTTTCCCCCAACCCCACTTTCCTGAGAAGACTCATGAGAAGACTTTGCCTTTGTTTTGGTTTGTTTGTTTGTCAATTAGGGTGTGCAGGGTGAATACGTGGTCTGTCGTACGGTAATTTGGTAAAAAGCCCATTTGACATTTGCTCAGTACATTGTTTTCACCGAGGAAATTAATTAGTCTGCTGTTAATGATAATGCAGAGGATTTTCCCAAGGTTGCTGTTGACGCATATCCCACGGTTGTTATTGGGGTCAAATTTGTCTCCACTTTTGTGGATTGGGGTGATCAGTCCTTGGTTCCAAATATTGGTGAAGATGCCAGAGCTAAGGATGATGTTAAAGAGTTTAAGTATAGCCAATTGGAATTTGTGGTCTGTATATTTTATCATTTCTTTGAGGATACCATCAACACCACAGGCCTTTTTGGGTTGGAGGGTTTGTATTTTGTCCTGTTCATTCAATGTAATTGGAGAATCCAGTGGGTTCTGGTAGTCTTTAATAGTTGATTCTAAGATTTGCATTTGATTATGTATATTCTTTTGCTGTTTGGTCTTTGTTATAGGGCCAAAAAGATTGGAGAAGTGGTTTACCCATACATCTCCGTTTTGGATAGATATCTCTTCGTGTTGTTGTTTGTTTAGTGTTTTCCAATTTTCCCAGAAGTGGTCAGAGTCTATGGATTCTTCAATTACATTGAGCTGATTTCTGACATGCTGTTCCTTCTTTTTCCGTGGTGTATTTCTGTATTGTTTTATTGATTCACCATAGTGAAGGCGTAGGCTCAGGTTTTCTGGGTCTCTATGTTTCTCAATTTCTTTCTTAGGTTTTTGCATTCTTCATCAAACCATTTGTCACTGTTACTTTTCTTCGGTTTTCTGTTAGAGATTTTTAGATTTCATAGGGAAGCTGAGAGGTCAAATATACTGTTTAGGTTTTCTACTGCCAAGTTTACACCTTCACTATTACAGTGGAACGTTTTGTCCAGGAAGTTGTCTAAAAGGGATTGAATTTGTTGTTGCCTAATTGTTTTTTGGTAGGTTTCGACACTACTTTCCTTCCATCTATAGCATTTCTTAATATTATTCAGTTCCTTTGGCTTTGATGCCTCATGATTTAGTATTGCTCTGTTCAAGTAGACTGTGATTTTGCTGTGGTCTGATAGGGGTGTCAGTGGGCTGACTGTGAATGCTCTGAGAGACTCTGGGTTGAGGTCAGTGATAAAGTAGTCTACAGTACTACTGCCAAGAGATGAGCTATAGGTGTACCTACCATAGGAGTCTCCTTGAAGCCTACCATTGACTATGTACATACCCAGCGTGCGGCAGAGCTGCAGGAGTTGTGACCCGTTTTTGTTGGTTATGTTGTCGTAGTTGTGCCTAGGGGGGCATATTGGGGAGGGAATGCTGTCACCTCCAGGCAGGTGTTTGTCCCCGTGTGCTGAGGGTGTCAGGTTCCTGTCCAGTTTTGGCATTTAGGTCGCCACAGACTAGTACATATCCCTGGGTCTGGAAATGATTGATTTCCCCCTCCAGGATGGAGAAGTTGTCTTCATTAAAGTATGGGGATTCTAGTGGGGGGATATACAGTGGGGGAAAAAAGTATTTAGTCAGCCACCAATTGTGCAAGTTCTCCCACTTAAAAAGATGAGAGAGGCCTGTAATTTTCATCATAGGTACACGTCAACTATGACAGACAAATTGAGCATTTTTTTCTCCAGAAAATCACATTGTAGGATTTTTAATGAATTTATTTGCAAATTATGGTGGAAAATAAGTATTTGGTCAATAACAAAAGTTTCTCAATACTTTGTTATATACCCTTTATTGACAATGACACAGGTCAAACGTTTTCTGTAAGTCTTCACAAGGTTTTCACACACTGTTGCTGGTATTTTGGCCCATTCCTCCATGCAGATCTCCTCTAGAGCAGTGATGTTTTGGGGCTGTCGCTGGGCAACACAGACTTTCAACTCCCTCCAAAGATTTTCTATGGGGTTGAGATCTGGAGACTGGCTAGGCCACTCCAGGACCTTGAAATGCTTCTTACGAAGCCACTCCTTCGTTGCCCGGGCGGTGTGTTTGGGATCATTGTCATGCTGAAAGACCCAGCCACGTTTCATCTTCAATGCCCTTGCTGATGGAAGGAGGTTTTCACTCAAAATCTCACGATACATGGCCCCATTCATTATTTCCTTTACACTGATCAGTCGTCCTGGTCCCTTTGCAGAAAAACAGCCCCAAAGGATGATGTTTCCACCCCCATGCTTCACAGTAGGTATGGTGTTCTTTGGATGCAACTCAGCATTCTTTGTCCTCCAAACACGACGAGTTTAGTTTTTACCAAAAAGTTTTATTTTGGTTTCATCTGACCATATGACATTCTCCCAATCCTCTTCTGGATCATCCAAATGCACTCTAGCAAACTTCAGACGGGCCTGGACATGTACTGGCTTAAGCAGGGGGACACGTCTGGCACTGCAGGATTTGAGTCCCTGGCGGCGTAGTGTGTTACTGATGGTAGGCTTTGTTACTTTGGTCCCAGCTCTCTGCAGGTCATTCACTAGGTCCCCCTGTGTGGTTCTGGGATTTTTGCTCACCGTTCTTGTGATCATTTTGACCCCACGGGGTGAGATCTTGCGTGGAGCCCCAGATCGAGGGAGATTATCAGTGGTCTTGTATGTCTTCCATTTCCTAATAATTGCTCCCACAGTTGATTTCTTCAAACCAAGCTGCTTACCTATTGCAGATTCAGTCTTCCCAGCCTGGTGCAGGTCTACAATTTTGTTTCTGGTGTCCTTTGACAGCTCTTTGGTCTTGGCCATAGTGGAGTTTGGAGTGTGACTGTTTGAGGTTGTGGACAGGTGTCTTTTATACTGATAACAAGTTCAAACAGGTGCCATTAATACAGGTAACGAGTGGAGGACAGAGGAGCCTCTTAAAGAAGAAGTTACAGGTCTGTGAGAGCCAGAAATCTTGCTTGTTTGTAGGTGACCAAATACTTATTTTCCACCATAATTTGCAAATAAATTCATTAAAAATCCTACAATGTGATTTTCTGGATTTTTTTCTTCTCAATTTGTCTGTCATAGTTGACGTGTACCTATGATGAAAATTACAGGCCTCTCTCTCATCTTTTTAAGAATGAGAACTTGCACAATTGGTGGCTGACTAAATACTTTTTTTCCCCACTGTAGGTAGCACACAGGAGGACATTTTTCTCTGTTGAGATAATTTCATTTCGAATTTCTAGCCAAATGTAAAATGTTCCTGTTTTGATTCATTTAATAGAGTGAGTTAGGTCTGCTCTATACCAAATTAGCATACCCCCTGAGTCCCTTCCCTGTTTCACACCTGGTAGTTTGGTGGATGGGACTACCAGCTCTCTGTAACATAGAGGGCAACCAGTGGGTCCGTCTCCTCTATACCATGTTTCTTGTAGGATGACAATGTCTGTATTTTCTTTGGTGAAGTCCAGGTTTCTGCTCTTTAGGCCAAAGGCAGATGGCCTCATGCCTTGGATATTCCAGGATGAAATAGTGAAGGCTTTGTGTTCCATAAAGTGTCTAATGTTGTTGGTCATGTGGTTTGGCCTCAGGCCAGTAATTGTGAGCAGAGCCTGCTGAGCATCTGGTACATGCCATTGGCTTGGGCTGTTCTCTATAACTAGTTATCTCTTGTGGGGTAGTTGAGAACTGCATCAGTGTGTGTTGGTGTCTGATGTGACTTGGTGAGGAGCTTACCATGTCTTCTCTCTCCTCTCTGCAGTTGAGAACATTGCTCATTGTGAGTTTGCCTATTTGCGGGATCTACTGATTAGGTAAATATCTACATACGTGTGTGTGTGTGCATGTGTTGCACATGTGTGAGTATGAGTTTCTGAACAATATGTCTTTGTCTGTCTGTGTTTGTGTGTCTGTATACCAGTGTGTGTGTGCCCTTCTGTTGACCTCAGCTGATGTCTAACTATCTCTCTATTGACCTCAGCTGATGTCTAACTATCTCTCTATTGACCTCAGCTGATGTCTAACTCTCTCTATTGACTTCAGCTGATGTCTAACTATCTCTCTATTGACTTCAGCTGATGTCTAACTATCTCTCTATTGACTTCAGCTGATATCTAACTATCTCTCTATTGACTTCAGCTGATGTCTAACTCTCTCTATTGACTTCAGCTGATGTCTAACTATCTCTCTATTGACTTCAGCTGATGTCTAACTATCTCTCTATTGACTTCAGCTGATATCTAACTATCTCTCTATTGACTTCAGCTGATATCTAACTATCTCTCTATTGACTTCAGCTGATGTCTAACTATCTCTCTATTGACTTCAGCTGATGTCTAACTATCTCTCTATTGACTTCAGCTGATATCTAACTATCTCTCTATTGACTTCAGCTGATGTCTAACTATCTCTCTATTGACTTCAGCTGATGTCTAACTATCCCCATCTCTCCCCTGTCAGGACCCACATGCAGAACATCAAGGATATCACCAGCAGCATCCACTACGAGGTGTACCGCGTCCGCCGCCTCAACGAAAACAACACCGCCGTCGCCCATGCCAACGGCCTCCCCCAACACCACATGACCTCCCACGAGATGTAGAGCCCCGCCCACTGTGTCCCATGAGCCCTCACTTCCCTCCGAAAACCTTCTATCCTTCCATCCACCTCTCCTTCCATCCCTCTCTCCTTCCATCCATCTCAATGCCAAACCCTTCCACAGAAAGGAGAAGACACAATCTGGGGGACTGAGGATCATGGTCTTAGCGCCCCCAAGTGGCCAAATACAGACACTTGGAATGGACTATTGATGCAAATGCATTACCCCTCAATGATAACCTGCTCTCTCTGACCAATGTCTACATTACATACAGAGAGTGAAGGGGGGTAAATGCTAGCTCTCACTAGCATTCATTCAGGTTTAACCAGGCTAAGTAAACACTATTAATGTACTGCAACCTCTGCCTTAATCTGTGTGTTTTCAGTTATTCTGTCATCCCTCGTCTGTCGGGTTGGTTAACAAAATAGCACTGTGATATCAGGCCCATTACATACAAGCTGTGTCAGAAGTGCCCTCAAACTTTTGTTAGGGTAAAATATTGATTTCTCATCCATTTTAATATATCCCCTGTAATGCATCCATCGTTCATTTGACCTACTATCTTAAGGTTCTACAACGTTTATTTCTGTTCCCTGAGCCTAGATCAGCACTCCTACTCTTGAACGCTTCATACACTCGGCCCCAGAACTGTGGTACTGGACCCATAGCTACAGCAGCACAGGCACAGGACAGATACTCAGCTAAGTATTTAGAAGTATGACACATGTAAATAGAATCTATTAATTCTATGGCAGTTGATTAATTTGTCAGAGTTCTGTTTGATAATGTCCGAGAGGGGTCAGTTGATAGTGGTGAATGGGGAGTGTTTATTGTGATGGAAGTTGATAATGCTGTTTGAATGGTCAGGGTTGCATAATGTCAGGGTTACATAACGTTGGGGGTGGACTGGAGGTTTTGAGTCTAGTGGACATCGTCGACACGTCTGTAGGGCCAGGAGTTTTTCCTCATAACTGACCAGAAGAAAACGTTGAGCCCTTGTAACAGCCTGTAACTAGGGTCTTCTCTGAGTTGTAGTTATAGGCTGTAACTAGGGTCTTCTCTGAGTCATCGTTATAGGCTGTAACTAGGATCTTCTCTGAGTCGTCGTTATAGGCTGTAACTAGGGTCTTCTCTGAGTTGTCGTTATAGGCTATAACTAGGGTCTTCTGAGTCGTCGTTATAGGCTGTAACTAGGGTCTTCTGAGTTGTAGTTATAGGCTATAACTAGGGTCTTCTCTGAGTCGTCATTATAGGCTGTAACTAGGATCTTCTCTGAGTCGTAGTTATAGGCTGTAACTAGGACCGTAAGTTTTTCCTACTAAGGTAACTCCTGGTCCTACACATGTGTATGATGCAGAGTAAGGGGAACTCTCCTGTTGTTTCTCTGATCATTGAGGAGCCAGTGCTTTATGCTTTGGGCTGATGACAGTACAGCGATACACATCCCAGTCGTCCTATGGTGGTAATATATATTGTTTTTACATGGCTGCGTCGTTGTACAGGTAATACTATCAGAAATATAGATTCCACATGCCCTCAGTGCCTTTTTAATTCCAAATAATAGATGATATTTTGGGGTGTTTTTTTTATATACAGATAGGTTTAAAGAGTGATATAAAATAAATAGTATTTATGCACATTAGAAAGATAAGAAGTGTACCACCCATCCACACACCGTAGTTGTCCTGAGCCGAGAGCACTTAGTCAGTTTATACTGCCCAAGTCAAGTGTTTAGGGAAAAACCCCTGGTCCTAGTTATGTGCCATGTCTCTCTGCCTTGGACAACACTATTGCCTTCTTATTTATTGGAGACTGTCCGCTAGCACATGGTTTTAAACTGGAAGGACAACAGTGATAATTAAGGCCCTGAGTTTTTCCAAACCATGTGACCTGATCATGAAATACACCATAGACTATAAGTAGGGACCTGAGGTTTTCCTAGTCAGGCCAAATGGTCTGGAAAAACTCCTGGTCCTAGTACTGACGTGCTAGCTGGTGCCAATCACCACAGCAGAAAACATTAAATTGTTATCAAGTCTCTTTATATCATGTTGTGCACCCTGAAGCTGAAGTCCTCCTTTAAAACTCTTCATTCTCTCTTTTTCTCCCACTATTCTCTTGTTCTTTTCCGCCGTTTCTTGGATATCACCCAGTAACAGTAATATGTGGTGTTTTAAAAGTTGTATTTGTTTCTGTTTCAAACTATAATCCTCAACTTCCAAACGTCATCGTCGTCATGCTCTGTCCTGTATATTCATTGTCAGATAAATGTTTGTACTGGTATTAATAATAACAGAATTTGCCTTTTGATATTGTGTTATTTTAAAGAAATAAAGATGAAAGTTGTACATAGTCATTTCCTTTTAAATTTATCCTCCTTTTCCAACTGTAATGTCGTTAAATTAGACCTTTATCGTTTTTGCATACTTTATAAGATGTTAGAAAAAGTTTGATTTTTAAACTTCATGTAACTGGTAAGTTGTTTATATGAAAATTCTTATAGAACTATTGACTGCATTACTTGTATCCTGCTCCACAGACCCTACACTCCCTTCCAGACAATTGTCCACTACACCTGATCTAATCCAATACCATCTAGCTGCAGCTTTAATTCACACATGGGAGCCTTTTAATTGAAAAAGTCATTAGCCTGTTCTTGATTAGCCAGTAGTAATCGATATCGCTGCCTTGTGTTGCACGACTGAATTGCATTTACACTAAATTACCAGAAGTCCTGAGAGTGCACGTAACCCACAGTGAAATGAAGGAGCCAATGAAGGGCCCACAGTTACTGAGAGGCCAGCCCCCGGATCGATCTGTAGAGGAGCTGCAGACATCGGCTCTGTGAGGCTAGGAGGAGATGCTAATGGGTTTGACAGAACAGGAGTGGCTAGCGTGTTAGCGGCTACGGAGGGACAGAGGTAACAGGTACTAATCCCTCAGCACCCACATTTTATCACACTTTCTAATGAGAGCAGTGGTGAACCGTGCTACTACACTGGGGTTGTGTTTCACAGCGATGTTAGCTGAAAAGATATAGGATGTATGCCAAGTGTTAGTCATCTTAACCCATAGGCCTAAACATTTATTTTCCTCCAAGTTTACAAGGTAAATATCTCCTAATTCTGAGACCCCAAACAACATATGGTTCCATCACTATATGTATGTGTGATTGTGTGTGATGTATTTTGTGTGCGTGTGCACGAGAGAGTGAGTGCAATTCCCCCTCTTCCCCCAGTCTTCAAAATGGAGAGAGGGAGGCTTCGTACTCAAAATGGCGCCTGTCCCTGCCTCCCCTTGGCATCAGCAGACAGATGCAATATGCCAGTACCCGTTGCCCGCCGTCATCACAAACCTCGCTCGACCACCCCCAACCGACCCACTAGGTTAAGATCCAGACCCCCACATACAGTATTGTACTCACACACCCCTGTCTGAAAACTCTCCCCAAACAGCAAACGAACAAAGAGAGCAAGAAATAAAGTGAAAGGGAGAGGGGTAGAGCAGCTGCAATCCTTCACAAACCTTCCCCCTTCCCTCCTCGTCTCCCTCCATCCTCCACTGGTCTTCTTGGCAGACGTCCAGCCTTGTGCAGCCCAGGTCTAATGAGAAATGACCTTCATTAATGAAGCAAGTGTGTCTGTGTACTAACTAATGAAGCTGTGTCTGTGCTATCTAATGAAGCTGTGTCTGTGCTCTCTAATGAAGCTGTGTCTGTGCTCTCTAATGAAGCTGTGTCTGTGTACTGACTAATGAAGCTGTGTGTCTGTGTACTGACTAATGAAGCTGTGTGTCTGTATAATATCTAATGAATGAGCCATCCCTCAGAGAGACTTCTAGAGTCAACAGGAACTCTGTCTGTCTTTTTTGTTGGGGGTTGGGGGTAGATCAGCTTTAATATTGCAGATAGATTGTGCCTTCTATCAATGTAATTATCTGCATCATTTCCAATCCCCCATATATTTTCTTTTGTAAATATATATATTATTTTCAATATATTTTATCCTTATTTATTATTTTCCCCTAACCCTACCACCCCTCCCCTAATTGAAGTAAACTAATGGACAACAACACTTAGGCTTCTACTTCCAGCTTATACATACTATATACATTTTACGGACAGTATATTTTCCATCAGTTATCTTTTGTTTGTTTTTAGTCCCATCCTTCAGCTACCCTCAACCCCTCCCATCTATCTCTGAAGACCATCCATTTTTTATTTCTAGCTGCCATATATTTTTCCACTGTGCAGTGATGTTTTACAAAGTTATGAACCTTTCTATCCTCATAGATTCTACAGATTGTATATTAAAGATAAACACCTTGCTAAGAGTATTATTATATTATTGATCGATTGACTATGAGATTTCAAATCACCCGGCAGCGCTATTTGCAGAGTTAGCTCCAAGTAAATGTTGAAATGTTTCATCCATTCCTGAACCTACGACTAAAAACTAGCTACATATGGGCAGGTCCAAAACAAGTGATCTAATGATTCTGTCTCTACACAACAAAATCTGCAGAGCTGGGATGGTTTTATCCGCTATATATAGATATATACACTGCTCAAAAAAATAAAGGGAACACTTAAACAACACAATGTAACTCCAAGTCAATCACACTTCTGTGAAATCAAACTGTCCACTTAGGAAGCAACACTGATTGACAATAAATTTCACATGCTGTTGTGCAAATGGAATAGACAACAGGTGGAAATTATAGGCAATTAGCAAGACACCCCCAATAAAGAAGTGGTTCTGCAGGTGGTGAGCACAGACCACTTCTCAGTTCCTATGCTTCCTGGCTGATGTTTTGGTCACTTTTGAATGCTGGCAGTGCTTTCACTCTAGTGGTAGCATGAGACGGAGTCTACAACCCACACAAGTGGCTCAGGTAGTGCAGCTCATCCAGGATGGCACATCAATGCGAGCTGTGGCAAGAAGGTTTGCTGTGTCTGTCAGCGTAGTGTCCAGAGCATGGAGGCGCTACCAGGACACAGGCCAGTACATCAGGAGACGCGGAGGAGGCCGTAGGAGGGCAACAACCCAGCAGCAGGACCGCTACCTCCGCCTTTGTGCAAGGAGGAGCAGGAGGAGCACTGCCAGAGCCCTGCAAAATGACCTCCAGTAGGCCACAAATGTGCATGTGTCTGCTCAAACGGTCAGAAACAGACTCCATGAGGGTGATATGAGGGCCCGACGTCCACAGGTGGGGGTTGTGCTTACAGCCCAACACCGTGCAGGACGTTTGGCATTTGCCAGAGAACACCAAGATTGGCAAAT